CTTCTTGCGGAAGACCACAGACGAAGGACGAGGTTAAGAACGGGGAAGTACTGCCACCTACAGGTCTGGCATGTCCTTAACAACGTATTTATCCGGGTACGTGTGGACAGTTTCTTTTTTTTAAACGAGGTGGTATGGATGCAAGTTTTTGGAGGGGCGGATATTCGTTAAAAAAAACGGCTGCGTGTGGACTAGGCCTCATTCATGGTGTGAATCGCTCCTTCGACCACCTCCCAAAGGTTCAAAACTGGATTGAAATCTGTTGAGGAGGCTTTTGGAGTCTAGTGAACTCATCATTTTACTTTTTTTGTTGTTCAGCACTTTGGCCAATCTTTCTTTGTTTTTAAATGTGCTATACAAATAAAGCTGATGGGTCAGTCGGTCGGTCGGTTGATCATCATGTTCAAGAAACCAGTTTGAGAAGGTCTGATATTTGTGACTTGGTTAGTTACCCTGCTGGGAGAAGCCATCCGAAGATGGGTCCACTGGGGCCATAAAGGGAAGAACATGGTTGAACAAATTAGACATTTTTCTAAAAACAAAAATACGCTGCGCATGGAACCTCTGTTGGTTATTATAGTTGTTGCTACAAATATATCATGGCATTTTTATAACGAAGCCAGGTGAAGACACTTCACCTATCCACTACAGTCCTTTTTGAATTTTGATCTATTGAAAACAAACTAGGAGATATTTTAGATGAAAGCAGATGAAAAGATTTAACTGAACATGTGTCTGTCACGTTAAACCTGAATGGTAAATCATCCTTTTATCACCGTTTTAAATTTGTTGTCCAATCTGTTGACTAAAGTGTTTGTCAGAACAGCGTTCCCTGTAAGCCATCAAATTACATCAACTAAATTACTTCACCAATAAAAGGTCACTGAAAGACTTTGGCTGAAATCCCAACGAGGCATTTCCAGTTTAAAGGTACCATATGTAATAAAATAAGGTAATTTCCACGTGTTTTTATGGCCAACTTGCCAACAGATTGCAATGCATCTTTAATGAGACCTTGTGACCTTCTCATGTCTCTGACAGGCTGTGATGATGTCACATTTATGCTTGCATTTTGATTAACACCCCCCCCCCCCCCCCCCCCCACACACACACACACACACCACCATTAACTTTGGCTCCAACTTTCATCAAGGTTAAGCTTAATGTTCACTTATTTTCTGCTTTGAAAGAAGATTTTCTCTGATTTAAAGGTGTCCTAGAATTCCAAAACACGTTTGTTGAACGTTGGCAGCCTGGGGTGTCTGATGTAGCATCCCAAAAGTGTGTGCCGAGTCTAACCTGCTTTAGTGAAGTTGTAATGGCCACAAAGAAATGTTTAGTCCTGAGAAAAGCTGGTATAGCACGTCATGGCCATAAAGGGTCCCAATCACCTTCAGGGTCAGCAAAACATAAAAGCTGGTAGTTGTAATGCTAACCGCAGACAAACCTAAGCTAAAGTTAGCCTGAGAGGAATGTTGGAGCACCGCTCGTATTCCCGGATGTACTGGGAATATCCAGACTTTGAATGACTGCCAGATAGATCCATAGCTTGCAGTCTCGTCTAAAATTTAAATAAAAGGTAAATAACCAAATGGGAAAAACTGGGTTGACATCAAGAAGAGCAAAAAAGATTTAAAAGTAAAAACCTTTAAAGATCAGTGTTTTGTTATGTTTTTGGGCTACGGAGCAGCCCGGTGGTGTGGGGAGACTCGGCTGTTGTCGACCAGGTGGTTGCTGCTGCTGGGAGCCAGCTGACAAGGTGGCTGCTTTACCTTACCTCACACAAAGAGCCGTTGATCCTGAAGAAATGTCTTCAGACAGAATCCTTTAAAGGGTGTTTTCCATCATGGCTACACAACTGTCAGACAGGGTAGGAACCCTTTAACGAAAGAAAAAGGTCAGCAAAACATCAAATCATTAACCTGACAGTAAAGCCCTGAAAACCTGGTCAGCAAAGAAGGACGTCACACCGATCGCTTACTTTTCTGTTCAGTTTGAACAACCCTTTCTTAATGAATATTCATTGCACATTAACTCTAACATCAGTATTCTGCAAGCATATGAAGCAGCGTTTCAAAACAAAGCCTTTATGTAAATCAGCGGTTATCTACAAGCAATCTGGACCGAGGGACGGCGCAGCACTTTAAAAACAAGGTTAGTGCACGAAGTGGAAGCTCTCTTTCTGTGACAAGGTCAGTGCACCGTATACGGACCAATAGGATCAGACTATAAACACCTGAATCACATCCTGTCGTGAATGCATACTTATTTTTTTTTAAACATGGACTTCTCCTTTCTTCCATAAAAAGGATAACACTGCCAGCTGACTGTCACACAGCATCACTGGTGTGTGTGCATCTTTACCACCTAAACACTCATTAAGGTGGCAGCTTACAGGCTGTTTGAACTCATGACCCACATCCTGCTCCTCATTATGGTGCAAACCAGACCGGCTGCAGATGATTCAGGAAGTTCACTAAGGAGATGATTCACCGTCGCGTTTAAATCAGTGTCTTACATTATGAGTTGTGCATCATCCAGGCTACATTAATGCTACTTCTAATGCTGATGCTTTCCAGATCCAGTTCTGCTCTAATGGTTTAAAAAAACAAACAAATGTCTTTTTTAATTTTATTTTGCTTCCTGTGGATTTAGTTTACTTTAACAGCATGTTGTGGCATTGGTAGAATTTAAGATAAGCAATAAAACTTTAAGGTTTAATGCATTCTGGGTAGTTTTTTTCTGGGGTTTTTTTTTTTTTGGAGGGAAAATTTCCATCGTTACGGCCTCCCCGAAGCCTAACCAGACATTGTGTGCATGAGGCGAACATGCTTCTGATAATTTAAGGACTTTTCTCCATGCCAGCTTGTTGTAATTACTGGGAATAAGTGGCAGCATGTGGTCAGGTTTATGACTCTTCTTCAAAGAGCAAGCGTGGTTCAGACAGACTAATCTGTGTGACTGCAGAGCAGTAAATCCCAAACTGAGCAACTACAACCACTTACAGTGAGTGTGGTGCAACGTGGTTCAAAAAGCCCGCTTCTCTCATAAAATATGTCCAAAGCCAAACAGGGTTTGTCTCCAAATACGATGGAAAAAAATTAATTAAAAACGCCATGAAGGAACTTTTAAGATGTTTGAAGTCTTTAAACCTGACATATATTACAATCCGTATTAGAATTGGGAGGAAAGTTATTCTAAATGAGGCTAAACCAAGAATGTGATGGACAACAAAGGATACTGGAAAAAACTAGCAGAGCTCTGGTGTAAATAAAGGGTCAAAGCTGGTGAGAGGGTAGTGGGGGGAGTCTTGACTTCTCAGTGAACTCATTTTTATTCTCACACAACAGCCTGCACCCTGCTAATGATGAGAACCCTGAGGCAAGTGAGCCGGGACAAACAGAGCTCAGGCTGCAGCCACCAAACATCTGCAGCAGCCTCGGACAAATGTTTCCACTCAGACGCTGAGAACAGCCAGGTTTCAGGCCCCACACTCCACCCAGTTAAACAAAATATCACTTTTCAGTGAGTTTTAGCATTTTTATAAAATCTGATTAGATTTTTGCCTTTTAGAGTCAAATCTGAGTCAAACCCTGCTCATGCAATGACTGGAAAAGTGCCAAAACCTACCAACCCAGAAAGCAGAAGTCACCCATAGAATTTGATTTGAAACACGATGACCAGATGGTCCTACCAGTCAACCAAATGAACCTCCTGAGCTTTTGATCAAAAGAGAATTAGCAAGGAGAAGACAAGATGTTGTTGCACAGCAGGCTTCAGCTTCATGCTGAATAGGAGCTCTCAGTTACAGAGTTTTAATCAGCAGGACTACAGAGGTCATACTGAGCAGAGAGACGTTCTGAGATGTTTTTTCTCCAAAAAAACTTCAGCAATTAACCTCCACTTAAGCTAAATTGTTGAAAAATGCTTCAGTTAATATTTTAAACAAAAAAAAGAAAGATTTTGTGAAAGTTTGGGATGACAAAAGAAACACTTCATACATTTTTTATAAGATGAGAGATCTGAGCCGGAAGGCAAAGCTCTCGATTTACCGGCTGATCAACACTCTAACCCTCACCTATGGTCACGAGCTGTGGGTAGGGACCAAAAGAATGAGATCACGGATACAAACGGCCAAAATTAGTATTCTTCGCAGGGTGTCTGGGCTCTCCCTTAGAGATAGGGTGAGAAGCTCTGTCTTCTGGGAGGGGCTTGTAGTAGATCCGCTGCTCGTCCACATCAAGAGGAGCCAGTTGGAATGGCTCGGTCATCTAGATGGGATGCCTCGTCCAACTGAGAGGAGACCTAAAGGAAGACACAGGGCATGCTGGAGGGACTCTGTCTCTCAGCTGGCCAGGGAACACCTTGGGATTCCCCCGGTGGAGTTGGCCCAAGTGGCTGGGCAGAGGAGAGTCTGGGTCTCTCTGTTTAGGCTACCGCCCCCCATGACCTGACCCCGGATAAGCGGATGGAACATCCTCAGCAATAAAAACATGCTCGACTTTAATATTAGATCACGTATTTTAGGTCATTTCCCCACTCGAAAAAGATAAATCTCCCAGGGCTTTTTCAATGCCTTCTTTTTGAGTGAATATATTGTATTTGACAGCTAGTAGCAGATTCTAGACCCATACCGGTACATACCGGTCCATAATAGCCAGACCTGACCGTTCCAGACCAGGCGATGGAAAAGAGCTATTAGTAGTAGGTGAAAACAGTTTAAAACAAACATTAGGGAACAATAAATGTGTATAAAACTGCTGTACTCAAGTTATTCAAGTGCTAATTTTAGCAGCAATTAGTGAAAACACAGTTACAATAATCTGCAGTATTATTTAGTTTGTAATACCTTAAAAATCCTGACTTTGGCAAATAGTCGAAATTTTGTAATCCAGTCAGCAGGGCTCCCTAAACGGCTTCAACCTCAGCTGTTTAATAAAAGATAAAAACTCTTTTATGAATATAAATGTTTAAACAGGTTAAAAATGCCAAACATTGAATCACCAGTAAGAAGAAACATTTTATTCACAGGTACAGTAAAAGTAAACACAAGCTGCCATATTGTACATTTTTACACAAGGTTTGAAAATCCTATACAAACAAAAAAACAAAGATATTAAAAAATATGTGTTTTGATATGAAACATGACCTTACATAGAATCATTTCTAGGAAAAAAAAGGTCTCGGTTTGGTAATAATCATTCAGTTTATGAGTCTAGTCCTAAGTCAGTGAAAACTTAAATTGTTGTAAAAAATTAGAATGGTAGAAATGGGAGTAGAAAGCATCCGTAAAAATGATTTAAAAAGCTCATGCAGCATCTTCAGAGAGGGCCTGAGAGAGAGAACGTCTTTGTGAAAAAGAAACGCGAAGCAAAATCCGCCATAGAGATAGAAACAGAACAAAGTGAGATAGATCATAGCCAGTGGTTTGGTTTTTTTGTTTATTTTCAGGAAAAATCATTTTCACCAGTCGTCTTTGTTCTCTCTGTCCGCCGTTTGATTCATCGGCACATTCTAGCAGCTTCAGAGCTCAGATCCTGATTGATTTAGCTTGTCTTTCTTTTTTCTCCGAGTCCTTTCATGAAGAACTAATCTTTCGGATACAAAATCAATTTTGACTGCCCAAGTTGGGGATAAAAGAAGCTCGTATTTAGGTCTCAAATGAGATACTATGTAAGTAGTTGCTGTAAAATGTACTGGAATGCATAGAACGGAGGTTTGGCAGCACAGGAAGGTACTAAGAAGAGGCTGTTTCCTTGTGTTCACCCCTTTAATTGTAACCACCATACTTTTGTCACAGGTGAATAAAAATGTAAAAATCTCTCAGGGTTGCATGACGACTTACTGAGGCACCAGAAGAATGGCTGAATCATAAATAATCCATCTCACTGCCCCGCTGATTGTTTTGGCTTCATCTCTTGTTTCTAGCGAGATGACCACAGGGGCAACGTCACATCTCCTCCACCTCCACTCGTCCACAGAGACACGTTTTGACCAAGGCAACTAGAGGGAAACATTTTCATTCCACCCTGCAAACTTTTACAGGCCAGCTAGCAGGAGAAGAACGTTAACAGTAAATGCATCTGGATGAAATAAAGTCCAGTTTCAAAAATCGAACCAACGGCATAACCAGAGATGTAACTTAAGGCGCAAGAGGCTGAATGGACATGGATAAAATGCTGCTTGAGGTTTGAAACAAGAGAAAAGGCAAACGTCTGGGAGCGTAACAACATTAGCTTATTGCTAATTCTCTTTTTTCTTTATTTTAATCCCCCCTCAAATGACTAAATGTACACACCACACATTCATTTAAATACAATATACAAGGCAGTATAAAATATTTGTTTTAAAAGCATCGTGTTCAGGTTATGCCCGCATCGTAAGAAAAATAACGAGTCAAACTAAATCATAAGAAAGGCACTTCCAGGTGTTTTTCATTGACTTTTCAGTAAGTGATAGCCACTGTGCTGCCATGACGACAGCAGCATTTGTGCTCACGCTTCATTTCTCTGCTCTGTCCTGGAGACAACGAGGCACCGCAGCTCAACAGTGATGTGTTTCTCTGTTTCTAAGTAAAGCTCCACTCGCATCCACATCTCGTTCTCGGTTGTTCTTCTCTCCAGTGGTATCCACAAAATCCTCCTTCTCCCTCCGTCTCTTCTCACTTCCTCTTCTCGACTTTCTGTCGTCCTCAGACCTCAACTTCACGCAGTCCCTCTGCAGGGCAGCATGTCGACGGCATGCTGATGTCGAAACAGGTCACCATCATGACATGGGACTTGCACAAGTTGACGCAAAACTCCAGCTCCTCTGTGGCCTGCGCCAGCGCCTCCAGGTACTCCGGAGACTCTTTGTCCAAATCCCGATCCACCTCAACTGTTGGAATAACCACAATTTATCATTAAATTAGCCAAAATATTGTTAAATTTTTTAAAAATCTATTTTTGCTTACACTCTCCCATCCACTTATTAGGATCCATCATCAGCCGGGTCTTTGTGTCCTCCAGCTCCTCTAACAACACTTGATGCTTCGCCCTCAGTTCCCTCACTTGCTGTTGCCGTCTCTCCAGAATCTTCAACTTACTATTAAAATACAGCAGACCCTGAAAGAACAGGAAGAGCAGCTTAAACAAGAAGCCAAGAGAACTCATAGACCAGAAAATCTACTGTACATTGCACATTTTGCTACAGCAGGGGTGGGCAATCCTAGTCCTCGAGGGCTGCTATCCAGCAGGTTTTAGTTGTTTCTCTGCTTTAACATGCCTGGTTTGGATCTACTGGTGATTAACAGGCTGCTGCAGAGCCTAATGAGCTGCTGAACAGGTGATTCATCCAAAAATCGGGTGTGTTGGAGCAGGTAAACAGCTAAAACCTGCTGGATGGCGGCCCTCGAGGACCTGGAACGCCCGACCCTGCTCCAAGGTGACCATATGCAATCAAATCAAAACAATCATTTTAATTATGGGTCAAAAATGATGGAAAATCTGCTCACCTTGTCAACATCCTGGAATGGTTGCTGGAGATAAAAACAGGAAGCAAGTTATCGTACAGTTTCTAAAAACGTGCAGTACTCTCATTGGTAGGTGACTAACGTTTTACACATAAACGGTGCAAATAGGATTTTAACATTATCACAGAGAAATTCAGTAAAAATAGCTGTTCATTATTTCTTGCTCAGGCTATGATTACTTTTTTAATAAACCTGGAGAAATTCTGGCTGATTTGAAGCATTTTTTGTCAAATCCATTTTGGCAGAGATCAAAAAAATGAAAGCAGTGGGGGGTAACCGTGGTGAGTGCTGGTGGTGAGAACGTTTGTGAAATCTGAATTCATCAGAGTCACCATCTGATTTTTTCGTGCATACCTTAGCTTCACCACCCCAAAGCTCAGTTATCGCTCAAACCCAAATCGGTTAACCGTCATCAGTGATTGCCATCTGAACTGTAGGCATTTATCAGAAGCGTTGCCCAAATACCAAGCCCTGGGAGCCTGGACACAAACATTTTAACTCCAGGATTTGCCGCTGAGCTGTCTGAAGGTCAGACGCTGGGACGTAATTTTGGGGGGAGACGGGTGGGACATGTCCCCCCCACTTTTTCAAAAGGCAGTTTTGGTCCCCTGCACTTTTTTCCGTCCAAAAACAATGTTACGCTCCATTAAATGGATTTGGTTGAGCACTAGGACCGAAACGGAAACCGGTTTACTATTAGACCCGCCCAAAAGCTAATCTATTGGCTCTGCTGATACTTGCTAACGTATTATTGGCTGTTGCTGCTGTCACTCAAGTTGTAAACAGTCAGAACGTGCTCACGTTGTTTTGCTAATTTGGAGCCGCTAGGGAACACCGGTACTGAGTCACATCGTCAACTAGACGCTGTGTAATATCAGAACTCAGCTCAGCTTCCATTACATAACATTTGAATAAGTGTTCATTTGTGAGTCTTTGGTAGTTAGGCACAGCCAGGAGGCAGCATGTCAAGAAAACGAAAAGTGGATATAAGAGACTTCTTTCAAAGTCAAAACGTAAGTTGGAACATGTGACACCCCTGCATTAAGCTCAGACTCACCTCCTCCTTCACAAACATACTCAAAACTAACTTTTACAAACTCATCTCCTCCACATAACTGACTCCTCAGACACAATTTATTCGTATTATTATAATTATTATTTTTTTATTATTACTATTATCATCATAATTATTATTACTAGTAGTAGTAGTAGTAGAAGTGTAACTTCAAAACTTTTATCATTTAACTTTATTGTAAACTTATCTATTGCAATGTATATTTTCACATTAAAAAGCTCTGAAAAATGAACAGTATCATCATCGTCAACAGATTTTTTTAAGCTTAATGTCAAAGATGTACACTTTTCATTAGATTTATCTTATTTTTTCCATTTTTTGTGTGTTGAAATGCAACAACTGTTTAAACACTTTTAAGGGAAAAACATATTTAATATGTTTTTATACACTCAAATGTTAGGGTGATGATCATGTGTAAAACATTAGTTCAGCATGTCCTCTAACACAGCAAATGAACAAACGGCCAGATCTCAGGAGGACCGTTTATGTATAAATAATTTTTATACTTTTGACTAGGCCTGGGAAAGTAACACATTTTGCTGGACGATATTTTGTCCAACAAATTGTTGATGATAAACGATATTGTCAACATTATCTAGACCAAAATAACCACTAATATAATGTTAATATATCATAATAATGCAAGTACACCCTTTAAAATGCAACAAAGAAACCTTCATTTAACATTGAAATGTCCAGAACCAGAACTTCTAAATGAATAAAAATAACAAACAAAAATTAAATAAAAAAGGAATCTCACTCCCTGTTAGAAAATGTTGCACCAAAAACAATAAAAAAAGACCCAAAACAATAAATACAATGGCCTATCCATTGTCAACAGCCAAAACTGCACTTCAATAATGATGGAAAAATTATTGAGATGGGCACGTGACGTGTCAAGGGGTCTTTACATAACACCCCCCACCCCAAATCCGCACAAGCCTGCTGTGTCCCCCCCACTTCTGAAATCAAAATTTCGTCCCTGGTCAGACGTCTGAGACAAACTATTCTTGTCCTGATCTCTAAAAAGAAACTGGGAAGGATGGGTAGAAGAAATTCCCACAACATACCCTAAATCCTTGTGACACATCTTCATCATGTATGGGATTAAAGCTCCACTCTCAAAATATTTTCTAGGATTAGCAGTTGGGAGTCACAAAACCACCATGGAGACGTGACATCATCAGAAACAAGTTCAGCAAAACAGTCAAAACCCGTCTGGTCTGACCCTCTGCTCACCTCTGTGGTTTCCTCCAGACGCCGTCTTTGGAGTCGTTCCACATCGTCGATCTCATACACCTTGATCTCAAAGGGCTCTTTCAAAGGTCCAGACATTGGAGGCAAGTCCACCCACTGGCCTGCTGTGCCCACCTTCTTCCCCAGGGAGGATGTGTCTGGCAGGGGTGCTGGGATCAACCGTCTTCTCTGGAAGCCTGCAAAGCACGCATGCAGCGTTGTAAGACAAGCTATGATTTGGGAGTGTTCAGAGGAAAAGGAATCCCATGTTGCAATATAAAAAGATGCAAGAAATTACATAAGATGGCCATGCTCTAGTCATTGTACACAAGCAAAAACGCTTTACATGTCTATTACATCAAAACACACAACCTTGCAGAAATGTGAGCTGTTGCTTGTGGATTTTCTTACCATTAGCTCTCTTCTTGGGATATTTGGAGCTCCGTGCTCTGCCTGACGATGACATCCCGCTTTCGCTCATGGAGTCGTGGGCAGAGGAAGCGCTGCCTGTGGCCTCACTGTCTCTGATCATGCTTTCATATCCGCTGCTGCCTCCGCTGTGGTAGAACAGAGCTGTGCGTCCCATAGCTGGAGGCAGCTCCCCACTCAGTACGCTGCTGTTGTCGCTGCCATGGCCACTGCTGTATCGCTGAGGCCGCCTTGGTGCAGTGATTTTACTATATGGCGAAGGCAGCATGGCTGTGGGCAACTTGTCATCACTCACGTTCACGCCACTGTCATTCCCACTGTCTGAATCTCCGGAGCCTCTCCCATGTTTGCCCGACATGGTACCTGTTGCTAGTTCACTCACGCGGCTGTTTGCAGCCCTAATGGCCTGCTTTGTGCCCATGATGGTACCTCTCCCAGGCTTGTTTGTAGCCGGAGCAGTCGTCCGAGGGGCTGATGTTCGACCCGATGGAGGAAGGTTAGCATTGGTATTTTTGGCCACAGGAGGGGCCAAAGATTTTGTTGAAGAGCTGAGGCCCTTGGAGCTATTGGCTGACAGTGAGCGTGCTTTACTTCCATTAACTGCTCCTAATGCCCTGGGATTTACAATAGCTTTTACTGGACCAGATTTACCAATATTTCCACCACTTTGAGTAGACTGGAAGGTAGCTATTGGAGAACTGGACGAATTAGGAATACCGAATCTTGGCATGGGCTTGTTGGATTTGCTACTTAGACTTGCCCCACTGTTCTCCCTACTAAGCACAGCTCTGGAACCCGATAAAGACAGGCTTTCACACTTTTCCAGTGACATCTGACTGCCGTAATGCAGCCCAGAATCTCCTCTAGACCCTTTGGCCTTCAGGCTGGAGGTTACTTTGGCTGTATTGAGGCTGGAGGTTTTTAAATGAACAGAATCTATTTTCTGATGTACTTCAAGCTCATCCTCTGATAAAGCTACCCTTACCCCAGAGGTCCTTCCTGCCTCCCCGTATGCTGACTTTAAGGCACTTTGGGGCAGCAGGATCTTGGTCTTGTGATCAAGACTGGACTTTCTTACTGGAGGGGGAGGTGGAGAGACACAGACAGGTTTAGGGAGATTACTTGCTTTCTGTGAGTTTGCCTTGTTTTTCCCCAGAGAGGAGAATTTAAGGCTTGCCGTAGATGCAGAAACCTCTTGGGTTCCTTTGTGATCTGTGGAGGAATGAATGACAGGCACTGTTCCCAGGGTGGTGGCGCCTCGTCTCAGCTGAGGCATTTTACTGGGTGGATTCTTGGTAGCTGACTTCTCACAGCCATCGACCACTCTCTGGGATGAGGTAGACCCTGGCGCCTTGGGTGGACGAGGTACACTGTTGCCATTGTTGGGTGTTTTGCTGGAAATGATGCCACTAGGGGGATTTCTTAGAAATCTGCTGGTGCTGCTGGAGTCAGAAATCTGAGGTTCTGAGTGGTTGTTGCGTTGCCAGGGATCGTCCTGTTTAGCCTCTTGCCTTGGTGAATCTCTACTGTTGCTGCTACTACTGTGAGAGGTGGATGAGGTAGGTTTAATCCTCCTGGGCAGACTGGAGTGTATAACGGAGGGGCCCTGTGGAGGTGGCGAGGAGCTCAATGAGTGGGCTTTAGTAAATTTCGATGTGAATCTAAGAGATCCTTTTGTTGATTCAGGTGATGTGGGACACTTTGACAGTGATAATTTGCTTGAAGCAGTACTGTCACTGTCCTGTTCAGAAAAACTAAAGCCACTGTCATTTAAGGAGTTCTTGGGGTCTCTTGAGGGCGATGCACAATGAAACACGTCAAAGGGATCAAAATAAAAGGTGCCCTCTGGTCCCACATGTTTGGCCTGTGGAATGAAAACATCTGCAGAATGGACCCCTTCACTTTCCAATGTGCAGACACTGACCTCACTCAACCAAGAACTGATAGAAGAGCCCCTGCTGTCGATACTTTCCATTGCGCCATCTTGAAGAGGTGTGACCACTGCAACGTTAACCTCAGATCCTCCCACAGTTGATGTATACGCATCAAATTCATCATTGATGCTGCTGATAATGCTGACAGGTCGGGAACCAGAAGCCAAAGCCTGAAGCGAGCAGTCACTATTAAAGCTTATAATGCTCGATGGCCTACCTTTATCCACAATACTTCCAATAGACAGCTCTTCTACCACAGTGAACACTAACTCATCTTCTCCATTCAGCTCCACTGGCTGCTGCAGGGTGACCGTAGCTCTAAGGATATCCCGATCCATGCACCGTTCCCTCATGGTTGAACGCACCTGGCAGACCTCCACTGGAGCTCTAAACAAAGGAGAAGTGCAAGGGTCCCTTCTATTCACAGCTTGGTGGCTCATTCCTACTGGTGGCATTCTGGTGCTTGATCTTTCCTCCTTCTCTATATTTACTTTCTGCTGCAAAGGGGGTGGTGCCGGCTTTGGCAGGCCCTTCTTGTTGGGGTAAACCTTTTCCCGCACTACAGGCTCTGAGTTTAGCACAGTGGTTGTTGCCAGATAATTTGTATTAACCTGGTTTTCACAGATCAGGGCCTTCTCACCATCGGCACTAGTTCTGCAAATGTTGAGAACATTTTCTGATGAAGCACTTTCTTCATGTATGCATTGTGTCATTACAGTGTCCAGTTTAGGTTTAATATTAGGGCTGCAGGGCATGGTGACAGGTTTGGGGAAAAGTTTGTTCGACGTGCCCTCTTGGCTGTTGGGAATATTTGCTACAGTCTTTGGTGAATTAGAGCCTTGGCCTTCCTTAGATTTGTCAGTGTTAGGGCTAGCTTGGCTTTTCTTGCCCTCTCCAACAAAAGCAGTGGGTTCTTCACTACCATCTATACACTCCAACCTCTCCTGAAGCTCTGCAAATGTGTTGCATTTAAAAAACTGGTCTCTGTCCAGAGGGCCTTCTTTAGTAGATCTTTTCTTGTTTAAGGAGGGGATGATTGGAACAAAGGCAGGTGGGCCTTCGTTGTCACTCAGCTCCCTATCAGAGATCGCAGCTCCCCCAGGGCCCACATAAATAACGGTGTCACAAGACTGTTCACTGCTCGATGAGTATTCTGGGTCGCTGAGCAGGGCGGGCAAGTCTGGGTCCAGGGCTACGGTCCGAGGGTGAAACGGCCTTAGGTGAGGCGGCCGCCGAACCTTCCCTTCCTCACATGAACTTTCCCCTCCAGAAGAACTGGATGCATACTTCAAAACAAAAAAAGAACAAAATCACATAATGTGTAAGTTTTTTTGCATTTAAAATATCCTAAACAAAACAATACTGTGTGTTAGAATAATGTTGATGGTACGCTTATGTTAAACAGGTTGAGAGTGGCTGCTGTCCTATCAATATGTAACAAAGATATTAGACCCATTTCACTTGTTGTTGCAGTAGTTTCCAGTTGATGTTTTATCAACACAAATAACTGAAGCCTGAATGACTTCTGCCGTGTTGTGGAGTTGCTAATACTAGCGATTAGCTACTACTAGCCAAGACATGGTTTGCTCCCTCCTGGACACTAAATCAGCATCATCCTTCCGTGTCATGAGCCAAGATAGGTGAATCCAACTTTCAGTGTAACGTGCAACTGACTGGTCTTTGCAATCCAAGCGTTTCCCCGTCTATTTTCTATCAGTGGCTAATAGGGGTAGAAGACTATTTTCATGTTCAGCCTGCATGCTAAACTAAGGGTTACTGATTATGTTTCAAAACTAACAAGTAAAAAATGGATTCTCAATGACATTTTAAGTATTTGCATTGGGAAATGAGACCGACTGGTTCAAGTTCTACTGATAGCTGCAAACAGATCAGCTGCTTACCAGAGAAGTCTCCCACATCAATTACCTCCTCTTTTACTTTTTAAAAAGAAAACTGTTTTGTGTTTTTCCACTTGTTCATGTTCGATAAAACATAACCATCTTCACTCTGTTAGAACCTCCAACCCTAATATAGTCAATCCTAGGGATATGTATTGGTGAAATTGTGGCGATACGATACGTGTCACGATACAGGGGAGACGATACGATGTATTACAATATATTGCGATACATTCAGTCAGATATTAGCAATTTGTTTGGACTGAATTTATTGTAGGAATATTCAATAAACTGTCCAAATTGGTACTTAAAATGTTTGACATAAGGTATCTGAACCATGACAGAAGGATTTACATTTCAGTGGTGGAAACAAAACCTATTGCCCACTGCTGCCAACTAGTGGTCGGTGTTTGAATTGCACCAAAAGAAAAGAAAATACACAAATGGTTGCATGTAAATTCTTCCAAAAATTAGATACTCAACCTTTGAATATTGATATAATATCACAGGAAAAAATATCACAATGTATTGCCATATTGATATTTTCTTACATCCCTAGTAAATCCCCAAAATGTAGTAAAGTTATTGAACTTTCACCAGTTGAAAAACTATGTTTGTTGATATATATGAACTGTAAGTTTGCCAGTATGCATAGAGAGGTTTTTTGTTTGTTGCATAGATAAACCCAACTTTCATCATCCTGAAATTGCAATGGGCTCGTGTAATTACCCTTTTTACCCCTGATCAGTAAATGTAGCACGTTGTAACTAATGACTGAAATGAGGCTGAACAATATTCATGTGACCATCCTCCCATTATTTGTAACACCTTGGCTGTTTAAATTTATAGTGGAATCATTTTACAATGAAGAATTTATTGTAAAACAATTTTTCATCATGTTAATAGTCCATTTTTATCTAAAGGTTAAAAGTACACATCGATAGCCACATGGAAATGAATGTCGGTAATATAAATTGCTGTATCACAACAGCCTCACCAGCATATAAATACAAGCTGCCATTGCACCTAATTATCTGGAGCATATATTTCTCTAATCCAGGGGACTGCAACGCACCAGCTGTATTGATTTCATGATTATGTGTTGAGGAGCTGAGAAATACTAGTTCTCAATTACCGCGCTAATAATAATAATTCATTTTCAGCATCATTTGTTTACCTAATAGCTTCAAAATCACAGGAGGAACAAAAATGTACAAACTTAAATCACAGTAGCATCAGTTAAGCTGGATGCAAAGTTGCACAAGCATAATAGTCCACAAATAAAAAAACAATTATTCTGCATGAATAAATGACAATTTGTTCTAATAGGTGAAAAATACCTGCATAAGATTCTAAAATCTACCATTTCTACCGCTTGACTTGATGAATGTACCTTTGTTTTCTTCTTCCTCATGCGATGGATACGGGAAGCCAGCTGGATGGTGGTGAGTGAGTCTGCGTAGTTGGCCGGAGAATCCGAAATGTGGGCAATCATGGTGGTTCTGCAGTTGATGTTGCCGAGGGACTCCCTCAACAGCATTGTCAGCTTGCTGTCCCTGAAGGGTGCATTAACATTGCTTTTAGCGAACAACACAGCCTTGCTGTAAAACAACGGTAATGATAGCTGATGTGATTTAGGAAAAGCTGTCCCAATTAGTCTGAGCTGAAAACGCACCCAAATGACTAACCATTTATCCTTTTTGTATTTGAAAACTATAAAATGTTCTCATTTGCCGCCAGAGAAATCTGTTATCAGAGGCTAATTAAACAGACTAAATAAATAGGCATGCATAAAAGCTTTGGAGGCAAAAGCGCACAAGGAAAAGTAAATAAATGTTGGTTTTCTTACTTATAAGGTACGTGTTTTGCCCCATTTGCCAAAGCCATGATGACGTTTCCCAGTGCGTTCAGGGAAAGACACAAGCCTCCACCGCCGTCTCTGCTCTTACTCAGGACCTTTTCACAGCTCCCCAAGTCAATAAGGTGCAGCCTGCTCCGTCCGCCCGACACTGTACCGACAGCAGAAGAAGAACCAGGTGAGAACAATGCAGACACTCCCACCCTGACTACTTCCTCAGTCAGATGGTGAGAAGTGTGGCACAGCTCAGTGTGAGCTGTCTGCTTTATTTATGAGTAAGCTTATAACACTGAGGTGATTCAAACTGCAACCAGACTGTTCAACTCCCACCAGATGTGTAATTCTCATTAACACAGATTTTTCTTTTCTTTAAACGTGTACAAAACAAATTCACCACAAACAAAAACATAAATCTTGATGATTTACATCCCGATTTGCATTTTAATAATTTTCTGTCTAAAAGAGACCAAATTAAACTGTTTAATGAACTTTTGCTTCAAAAAACATTAATGAGGTTAGGGCTGCTCAATGATGGAAAAGTAAATTGTGATTCTGTTTATTTTGCTTAACATGACAGGACGCCAAAATAAAAGCATCTAGGAGTGCCTCGTTTAGTAATTTCAATAATCTCTTAAAAATATATATAATTTAATCGTCCGCAGGCCAAGTCTTTGAGCACTAATGTTGAATAGCAGAAGATTTTTGATTAATTAAAGTCTAAGGACATGTACACACATAGCTGGGTTTTTTGTAAAACTGAATACCCTCCCCTGCCCATCTAGGAGAAAAAGGTGACTCCGCACCACCTCCTTTTCTAAATAAAATCATGTTTATTGTGAAGCACATTCATAGGCATGGACGCAGTCTTTGGGGGGGACGTGTTCCTCCACTTTTTCCAAAGTAAATTTTTGTCCCCTTCGTTTTTTACCATCCAAATACAATAATACGCTATATTAAATAGACACTGGCTGAGCACTAGGACCATGCGGAAAACAATCATTTGTGTTAGAATCAGTTTCCTATTAGAACTTATTGTAAAGGACCCCCCCCCCCCCCCCCAAAAGTCTGTTGCTCAGTTTTTTTAAGATGGCGACTTCACGTTTCTGTTTATAAATGTGCTTCTGTAGCTGACAAACAGAGCAAAAACACACTGTTTTACAAGTGTTATTCTCATGTCATGCTGTGTTCTCATATATTTATATTTTAAAGCAGGGGTGTCAAACTCATTTTAGCTCAGGGGCCACATTGAGGGAAATCTAGTCCCAAGTGGGCCGGACCGGTAAATTTAAAACAACTTCAGATTGTTTTCTTTGTTTTAATACAATCAATATAAAACAAAGCTGGAGCCTGAGGACAGTGTATCCAAAATAGTACAAGCACAACACCTGAAGTGTACTTGAAAATATGAAAAAACTAAAAAATCAAGAAATAAAAAAAAACATTCCTTAGTGATTCAAAGAGCTTACAGGTCACATGGCTAGATCAGTTTCATGCAGCATGTAAAGTATGTTTGACTAATTTTACTTTACATCTTTTAGCTTTCACCAGCACATCAATATCAGAAGTCACATCCTGAGTGGCGGCCAACTTCAGGATGTGATTCAAGTTCTTGTGTGGGCCTTGAGCGCATTTGTTTTATTTATACTCGTTACAGAGAAAACTTGCTCACAAAGATAAGTTTATTTTCACTCTACATTTTAAAGTATGAAAATAAAGTTTACACAACCATCTCACGGGCCGGATTTAACCCGCTTGCGGGCCGGATCTGGCCCACGGGCCACATATTTGACACCCCTGTTTTAAAGGCTTTCTTGTCCGTGATAAGTTCATCAACTCCGCATCAGCCGAGGCATTCCTTAAATTTGAAGCATCTAAGCAGTAGTCTAATGCTATTGGTTAGTTCTGGACGGCGCTCAGTTTCCTATTGCACGGAGCTCTGCGGGTGAGGGGGCGTGCGTAGCAAAAAAAATGCTTACATTATATCACCGTACATGATAAGATAATCACTTTTACAGATTTCTGAAAAACCATTCATAATCTCTGAAAGTAGAAAACTGTGGAAAGCTGCTTTAATAGAGCAGAAAGAAGCTGCTATGGAAACTCAGATGTCCACGCAGGCATTGGCTTATTTTTAGGAGCGTTCACAGTCAGACATAGAATTAGACTGAGAAAATATAGCTAACGATCCAAACAAAATTTCAGGAAATTATAACCAAAGTGATCATTTTTACTTCAAATGACCCCATGTAGATTCTCAACGACAGAACAATTATGATCCCTTAATACTAACTTCCGCCTTTGCTGCTCTTCTCCATGCGATATTGGTAAATGTGCAGCGTGAACAACATGTGGGAGTTCCGCCTCTCGTCGTCATCCGCGTTCGGTCTGCTGGTGCTGCGAGCAGCCAGGGCTGCATCCAGGAAGAAGGCGGCTTTTTCAGCAGTAGGGGCTCGAAGCTCGCTCTGATTCTGGAGCTGTGTTCAGGAAGGGAAAAACAGTGCAGCCTTAGGGGTGAGCAGGGCTTGAGAAGAGAGGCTATATGTGAAAGGGAGGCATGATAAAGAGAGAGGAGTCGGTTAATTGGACCCCGGCATTCATTTCTTGCCCATTAGAATGTATCTCTGGGGCAATTAAAACAGAAAATATGCACACGGAGGGAAGAGGATTAGAAGAGGTAAAGTAGGAGTGATAAGGGTAGCGGCACGGTAAGAAAATAAGAGAGGGGGTTGAGGAGAGAAAAGGCAGGAAGGATCATAAAGAGAAAAACATGGAAGAAGAGAAGCTTCACAGAAGTGAGTGTCCTTTGAAGTCAGAGTCCACAGTTATCCCCAAAAACAACATCTGTCAGCAACACCTGTGAGTGCCTGCAAACCTCCAGTTTGCACCATCCCCCAATAATAACTCCATTGTGCCACAGAGGGCTAACCGTGATTCATGCATAATAGATGCTCTGACGGGAGAGTCAATACAAGACAGAAGCAAAGGAAAGCTATCAATGACATAGATTTGGCTGAAATCATGGAATTCTGAAGCAGGTAGGATCGTCCCGGGAGATAACAACTAAATGCTGCACACGTGCACTTGCACCAAAGTTTAAACATCTTTGAAGGGGCTAAGAAGTAGATCATAGACAGAAAAGAATCAATACTCAGACAGACTAATACTTTAACCCATGAAAGGATGAACAAAGAAAAGGAGCGGAGAGATGGAAGGCTGCTCACCTGAGTGCCACAGATGGGATCCTCTCTCAGATGGATTCCCGGCGACTGGCCTTCCTGCAGGCTGCCGGTTGACACCTCAGACAGCAGGTCTTTCAGCTCTTCATCCTTCCCAAAGATTTCCACCGCAGAGACACGGACTGAGAACCGTGTACCAGTCTTCTCCCTGCGCTCGTTGATGAGCTTGAAAAGCCAGGAAATGGCACAGGGCACAATGCCGAGGCTCTGCATGGAGCTGTCTTTACCAATCATGGTGTAGGTTTTGCCTGGCCACGTTGGAAAGAGAGAGTGAGATGATAATGGAAACACACACAAATGATCTATTTTTCCTTTGAAATAATAGAAATGGGAACTGATTTCTCACAGAAACAGGCAATTTTCTGTGTTCGGCCATTCCTGGCGGATAAAAGTAGAGTCTAATGCGAGGAGCCTGATGTAATATTGAGTCTGAGTAAAATCAAATGTTGATCCAAGGACTTATTCCAGAAGCAGTCATTCAGTGGAGAATTATAGCTAACAGCAGCATGAGGACAACAGGCTCTTCAGCCTAGGAGTGCAGGCTGGACCAATTACTAAGATTTTAATTAAAGACCGAGCTCTGAAGCGTGGATGCAGCTTTTTAGCCCTCACCCCCCTCCCCAAACACACCAGCCATTCGTTCTCCTCCAATCTCTCATTCCTCAACTCACCCCAGTGCACAGCTAAACCAATTGTGGACATCGAGTGTAGCTAACAAAGAGCAAAGAGAGTTTTTCTTTCACCAACAAAGGCACGTGTCTAATCTGTTGCCGGTGGACGAGCTTACCGAGCTTGACTTGACCGAAGCAGAAGATGCAGCCGTCTGCACCATTTACCACCGACTGGATGACCTCCGCTACCGTCCCTGAGCACACCTCAGCCTGTGAGAAACAGAAAGAGACAAATCCGCGTCGCGGTCGATTTCTAGTGCAGACACATGGTAGAAATGCTGTATGGCAAGCGGACAGAATACTATGAATCCAAAATGAACGAGAGAGGTATTTTGGACTGCCTGCACAGAACCACGTTAATGATTTGGGGATTTTTCATCACTCTTGTGAACGTCGGAATGTGTGGCTTGTCTCTGCAATCAGTTTCAGCATGGGTCCACAGGGGGAGGGTGTCTGCAGCAGGGACCCCTTACCATGCCTCACACAACAAACATGCCCTCCAACAGCAGAACAGCTTGCTACCAACAGAGCTGTCCCAGAGGTACAATCTAGCTATGTGGCCTCACATCTAAGGCAGAAGCGTTTAGCCTTGAGCGTCTCAGGGTATGATAGAACACTTGATGTTCTCTCTGTTATGGAAATTCCACCCCTTCACCAATGATTACAGCCTTAAGAGTCTTTTGGACTCTCTGGAAAAAAGTTGACCTCAGATTTTAAAAACATTTATGAGCGTGGATCTAACATGACCGGACTAGTTGTTCTGTCTCTGTGGGTGTTAGATATAGTTGCTCTTTGTAAGGAGAGGTTAGATATAAGTGGAGTGAATTCAAATCATTCCACAGTTGGCTTAAAAGGCCCAGCTGTTAGACCCACATGGGTAAGAATGCCCCCTGACCCAAGACCAGCATTTTCTTCTAAGCCTACATGGTCACACCCTGAGAACTTAGAGGTGTCCCTTGTGTGGCAGAGCACCTTATAATACACACACACACGCGCGCACACACACACACACACACACACACACACACACCCACACGTCCTTACTTGTGAGGAATCCTGGGTGAAAACAGCATCAAAGGCGAATATCTTTGGGACAGCCACAGTGGCAGACCTCCTGTGCCCTGAGCTGGAGTGAGGGCTGGATGCAGGGTCATAAAGGGTGAGCTGCTTCTTCCTGCTGTCGACTTTTAGGAAGGACTGGAACTCGGAGGAGTCCGAAGGCTCCGGAGCTGGGCAAATCCGCATCATCACTTTCACCTGGTGGGATAAGAAAAAAGAGGGGATGAAAAAAAAATAAAACACCAGAAAAGAACTCCTTAGAGATTCGGTTCAGCAGTAAGAAAAGAAGAAATTCCAGCAACAATTATTTTACTAACAAAGGAAAAAAGAAACGTATGGTAGGCAATCTGAGTATAATTCTATTATGCATTGACATCACGTCCACTTTTCAGAGCTGATGTGCATTCAAGGTTACCATGGAAACACTCAGCCTCACACTGACTGGCAAACTCTATGGGTCAACACATTGCTTAATGGTGTTAGTAAAAGGCAGCAAGGTGAGTACTGGAAATCACAGCTGAGAATGCAAGAAATGGATGCGTTTGAAGCGTCCTGCTGAGGGATTATCCGACTCGAGTTTTTCTGGACTGCGAGCAGCTCACCAGCATGGGACGGCAAAACCATATGCCCCCACCTCATCCTCACTACTATTACACTCTCTCTCCTCCCTTTCTCGTCCTTCACCTTTACTGCATGGAAAGAAAAAAAAACATTAGCAGACTTGCACCCAGTTGCATTCTGGTGCTTGGCATTTACGCTGTGAGCTTACAGCATTAACACATTCTGCAGGTCACAGAAATTAATGATAGCTTTTCTCATTAAAAGTGTAGTTTGGGCACTGATCTTCTTGCAAAGAGCTCCAAAGACATTTTGCGATGTTCTGTTTCAATGCTGCTGAAGGGATGCACCATGTGTTTTTTTTTAGTGTTTTCAGCATGTCAGTCTATACAACACCAATGTTCACCATACCATTCCTTTAAAACTCTGACAGCTGTACGCAGCTTTCCAGGTCAGATGTGTCCCACTCGTGTTGCTCTTAAGGCAGTGTGAGAACGTGTCTGACTGACAGGCGACAGGAACAGCTCTCGGGATATCTTTAGCAGTCTTTGGAGTTCCCGTCATCTCCTAGAGTGTTTAGTGTTACGCCTACCATTGCATTATCTGAACAGTTTCTGTATGCTGCAGAATGTGTGACAAGCAACTCAATCCTGAGCCGTTTCAACGCTGCCTGGAAAAAGTACCTCTGCTGCCTCTTGGGCACTGGAATAAAACCATTCTAATGCTGCTGACTCGTTTCTGTTTTGACAGAAGACTTTGCCCAGCCTGAGGACTCACCACACCCACACAATAGGCACATTCTCCCACTAACTGAATATTCTTGCAAATCTGGGCTTCAAGACAATGAGACAAAAAATCCCTTCCTTACATTGAGCAAATTTTCTTGATTTTAAGCCAAATGCAAACCCTCCGTAGACTGTGAGGGGCCGCTTTGTGATCAAACAAAGCAAAGCAAACACTGTTTTCTGAGTGTTTCCACATACGGCTGCTGACCATCTCTCTAAAAAACTAAAAAGACAGCACTGGCTGGACCAGACATTGGAGGTCACCACCGTGTTTTCACATGCTGGATGTTACTAATGGTTTCTGTGCTGCTGTCCCTTGATCCCACTCAAAATCCATTAGTGTGGCTTGGCATTACTTCCTACACTCAGCAGTATAAACCTTAAAGGATTGTCTCCAGGTGAAAAGTTGAGAAGTGGAACTGAAAGTCAGGATGGACTTTCAAGACTTTCACTCAAATCCCAGGTTGTGCTGATATAAAATATGCCTGAAAAGTCTCATTTATAGGGACTATGTTATTTTAATGGTCTTTCCCTCCATTTTAAACACCAAGATCATTCATTTTTTTCATCCAACACATTGCTGTGGTCTCTAGTATAAATGAATGTCTTGTGAGAAAAAAAAACACTCTGGCGCTCTTGTTTCAGGAAGAAGTTAGTAGGAGGATGGGGAGCAGAAAAATAGTAGGATTTGAAGTTTTACTCTTGCCTCATCTCGCCTCTGATTGGTTAAAGGAACAATAGATAGTTTTGTAAACTTTAAGCTGGAGTTTTAACATTGATATCAGTGATTGTTGAGTTTGAAAATTGACCTGTTTCATATTTCACACCACATATTTGCAGCCCTTTGCTGACCAAAAACCACTTGATAGTTTTGTAAAGCAGGTGGGAGGCCTGCTTTATGACTGTTGGCTGTAATGCTAGTGGTTAGCATTTGCAGTTTGCAGATTGTCAATAAAAAGCACAACAAAAAGAAGATATTTGCTTTTTCTGTTGGCCTGGACAGAAAGCCTGAGCAAAAGTCAGAAAGTAATGTCTTTGGAGACGAAGGAAAGAGTTAAAACCAGAGTGAACATCGGAACGGCCTACACTAGTTTGATCGAGCTACAAGAGGCTACAAAATTACGGACTGATGGTGACCTGGCTTTGTTGCTACTGGACTTGTAAATAATATTTTTGTCAAACAGTGTGAATCTTTTTACTTTGTGGTTTATTTTTAGTGTTTGTTGGTTCACGTTAGTGTTAGCTCGTGTTAGCGCTAGCTACAGCAGGCTGCAGCTGGGTTGCTTATGACAGTTGTAATTCCACTTTCAACAAGTAGGGCAGAGGAGCAGGAAACTGCTCTGTGTTACTTCATCAGCAACATGACTCTACGACTGATTACATTTGTTCTGCAACGTTGATGTTCTATCTCCACAAACAACTCAAGTCTGAAGGAGTTCTGCCATGTTGTGGAAGTGCTAATGCTAATGGTTAGCTTATACTAGCGGAGTCACACGCTGCTCTCTCCTGGACGCCAAATCAACAACAGCTTCCCCCCACAAGCCAAGATGAACGCTAATGTTACAGTGTGACATGTACTTAATTATCTTTTCTAAATCTAGTGTTTTACCCATCCATTTTCTATCGGCGGCTACTGCAGGTGTCAGACTCGAAGACTGGGTTTGGGAGTGAGAGCTTTTATTACAGACTGCTGACTGAAAGCAGTGCTGGAAAGGCTGAAGGTTGGATGAGGTCTGAGTAGGAAAGGTGGAGGTTAAGCTGTATTAGCTTCCGAATACTCTGATCATGGATCACGGTGGAACAATGACTGAGTGAAGAGCTGGTGTAGCGTCTTCCATATATAGACATGGATTGACGCAGGTGCAACGTGGAGGGAATCCCCGCGAGGGGCATGCTGGGTAATGTGGTCCAAGACGGAAGCCGGTCAGCTGGGAGAGCCCGGCCTGGGGGCTTGGACTCTGACAGCAGGACAGCTTGACGGATCATTTTCATTTCAAAAAGAACAAGTGAAAATGTATTTCTCAGTGATCTTGCTCTGTAAGACATGGGCTAAGGAACAGAGACACCACATTTGTGTGTTTGATCAACAGTAAACAAAAAAACTGTAAATCTGGCCTGATAGACTTGGAACAATATCATAAAATCTCATAAATCCCATGCAGCCTCTTAAGCAGCACAGATGTACACTACCTACCATGCATGGGCTTGAAGAGGATTGTTAATAACAGGATTTTTATGAAGTCCACATGTCAGGAGGAGATTTACAATGTGTGGCAAAAATTCAACCGTCTGGATACCTGGCAGCAGAAGCGAGCGTTTCCTATCCAGGTGGGATCTAATCTTATTCGGGAACTTCTGCTTTATAAATACAGGACGCCAGCTCAGACAAACAATACCCAATAAACCACAAAGGAAGAGCCAAGTGTTTATACAGCTTTGTGTAATGACTGTCCTATAGCTGCCATCCTGACTTTCATCACGGTGCGCCACACCAAGAATGCATTCAGAAAACCCTGCTGTTCACGCCATCATGGATTTGTGAATTACTGCTTCTGCTCGCTTTCAGTGTTGAGGGAGGAACGCTCATCTCACAAACAAGAGTGGATTCATGACATTCCAGCAGGCTTATCTGACGACATCTGCGTGGACTGAACCAGACGACACGCTGCCTGTGGACCAGTCTGTTGCCACTCTGCATTTCATCCCTTCAAACAAACGGGTCTGTATGTCAGGCAGAGAATTACCACTTTATATGGCATGCAGTATATATATATATATATATAGATAGATAGATAGATAGATAGATAGATAGATAGATAGATAGATAGATAGATAGATAGATAGATAGATAGATAGATAGATAGATAGATAGATAGATGATAGATAGATAGATAGATAGATAGATAGATAGATAGATAGATAGATAGATAGATAGATAGATAGATAGATAGATAGATAGATAGATAGATAGATAGATAGATAGATAGATAGATAGATAGATAGATAGATAGATAGATGATAGATAGATAGATAGATAGATAGATAGATAGATAGATAGATAGATAGATAGATAGATAGATGATAGATAGATAGATAGATAGATAGATAGATAGATAGATAGATAGATAGATAGATCGATAGATAGATAGATAGATAGATAGATAGATAGATAGATAGATAGATAGATAGATAGATAGATAGATAGATAGATAGATAGATAGATAGATAGATAGATAGATAGATAGATAGATAGATAGATAGATAGATAGATAGATAGATAGATAGATAGATAGATAGATAGATAGATAGATAGATAGATAGATAGATAGATAGATAGATAGATAGATAGATAGATAGATAGATAGATAGATAGATAGATAGATAGATAGATATGTATATACCGTAAATCCTCTAATACAGGCCCGGGCCTGTATTTGACTCAAGCTCATCAAGCTCCAGGCCTTTATTGGAAGGAGGGCCAGTATTAGAGGCAGGCCTCTATTTCTATTTGAGCAAAATGAACTAATGGTTCGCTGGAGTTTTTGACAATTAAAATTGCGCCCACATTTTCAAAGTTAAACACATTTCTTTTAACAACGGTAGTTCCTGCTTCAGTCCTCTCCCCCCTCCCCCTGCGCAGCGGCGCAAACTCACTGATGCTCCTGCAGCCTCTCGGAGTTCCTGCTGCTCTAAACATTAAAATAATTATTTCATTTTCTGTTCCTCACTTCTGATTACCTTCAATGGTGTCTGTTTGTTGCAACCACCAGGTACAAAAACTCACTTGTTTTTATTTGACTATTTTTCTGTCCTGCATGTTTATTATCTTCCTGCATCTCCTCTCAATCCTAAAGAGAAACTGCTACCTGGCTTCATATATATTCACCTCATGAGTTACCTTTGAACTGCAGTTCTAAAAGATCTATCGACCGCAAAAACAGCGGAGCGCTCGCTGTTTGGCGGCTGTATCAGTGATCAGTGCGTCGGAGGACAAGGTGATGCGCGCAGCGCCCCACTCCACAGCATGCAGCGAAACGCATCAGGCGCAAATAAAAGACAGAAAACATTAAAGGAAATGAACTGACATGAACGATCGCGTGTTAAATTAGTTTTTGAGGTGGCGACACCTGATTGTTACTGTGGCCGTGCTCAGGAGGCAGATCTACCGACCGCGAAAACAGCTGAGCGCTCCCTGCTGTGATCTGTGCGTCGGAGGACAAGGTGAAGCGCCCCGCTCCACAGCAGCGATACACATCAGGCGCAACTAAAAGACAGAAAACATTAAAGGAAATGAACCGACATGAACGATCGCGTGTCAGTACCTACGGTCCGGCACAGCGCGTTGCTGATCACAGAGAATGTGATCATACGATAATTCAATAGGGAGCGTGGTTTCACAGACGCGGAAGTGAGAGCGTCGGTGAAACGCCGGCTGATCTAGGAAACCCCCGAGCGTTCGAGCGTCAACGAAGTGACACGGAAATGCCGGGCTTTCCAGAAGTAAGTAAGATAACTTACTATGAGCTGATAGTTCGTTGGATTGATCGGTAGGTTGGAAACTCTGATCGTGAATCTGAAGAAACGATGACTGAGTGGTGAGCTGGAAAGGCGACTTCCGTTTATAGCCGCGGTTTGTGACGTAGGTGCGACGTGAAGGGAATCCCCGCGAGGGGCATGCTGGGAGTCCCTACTTCGCGGATTTTCACCTATCGCGGCCAGGTCTGGAACGCATCTACCGCGATAAACGAGGGATTACTGTAGTTCATACACCCCCTACTGCTGCTCTCCAGAGTGTTCTGCAGCATAATCAGCACGTTCTCTTTGAACTTGATAGTGTAATGACCTGGTTGGGGTTGTAAGCCAGGTGCATTCTGGGTATTGTGTTATATGTGTTTCCTATCGTTCTGCTGGTTCCTATGTGCTGATTTGCGTGTTGTGTGAGTGTTATGTAAGCCACAGGGAAGGTGATGTGTGTTCTGTGGAGCGGGTTGAATTAGCATGGTTAACTGACACCGTGACTCTGTGTGGTAGGAGCGTGATAGAGGATCGTGTCCGAAGCTTTACAAAGCGTTGAAGAAAAAGCCTAAAATAGGTCTGCGTGAACTTCTACTGCCTCTTGCTGGTTCATTTGGGGACTACAACCCTGCCGCTGGGTCGCTCGTACTTACTTGTTACCACATTCCATCCGGCCACAATAAGAGACCGGCCATTATTTGCCTCCGCTGACTCCGACACCGGCCAGAATTGGAGACCCGGCCTTTAATTGAATACCGGCCTGTATTAGAGGATTTACGGTATCTATATATATATATGTATGTATGTATGTATATATATATATATATATATATATATATGTATGTATGTATGTATATATATATATATATATATATATATATATATATATATATATATATGTATGTATGTATGTATATATATATATATATATACATATATATATACATATATATATGTATGTATGTATACAAGATGCGACTCTGTGTGCATTTGAGGGTTTGTGTCTCTCACCTTTCCCATCCCGGGGTTCTCTTTCACTTTGGACACAGCTCGGAGCAGGCATGGTGGGGCAGGGGGCGATGAGACCTGCAGGATGCCGCTGAAATTGGTCGGGTAGATGGAGGGCTCCTGTGGATGAAGCGGTGACGGCTGGTTTTTCTTCCGCTTGGAGGAAAGGTTCAGCTTCTGAGCTGCCCTAAAAGAATAATAAATTAAAAAAAGCGCCTTTGAAGGGAAGCCATGCTTTGAGAACCATGAGTTGAAACATCAGGAAATCATTTATTTTCACTGTTGTGTCGTGCCAAATCACTAACACTGTAAGTGAAAGGTGATTTTAGCTTGCCAAACTAAACAAAAGTTCATCCATTCTCCACTTTAAAAATAATTTTAGCCCAAATCCCAAGACTTCAGCTTCAAGTGGAAACTTCAGGAGACAGATGACCGACAGTCAACGGTTCTAGCCTGCCAGGAGGCAGGTCATCGTAGAATAAAGATGTGCAAATGATTGATTTTTCATGATCAGTGATTAGAAAAGTGTAATGGACACTCCAGTGAATCCCTGTTTCTGTAGTGAAGCTGACCAGAGAAGGTGGAGCATGCTCGCATGGGCACCAACCAGAACCCGCTGCTTTCATTTGACAGTTCCCTCATTCATATCTTCTGTCATCTTTTTCCATTTTTCACTTGGAATAATTTCTAAGCAGCTGAACCAGAGATCACTAAGCCATTTTTGTCTGGACATTGCTCTTCTGTCCCAAACGTCCTACAACAACACCGATATCTCTGCCTGGCCTGCAGGGAATCTGGCCAATCTCAAGGAGCGGTTTCAGGTACGCCATTGCCTTGGATCAGCTAACAAACCTCAGCCAACAATTCAAGGTCAGCAAGAAAAGTAATACCCCAAATGTACTCAAGTGGTTTTTCACTCAAGCAGTGGGATTTCTGAGAAATCCAAGGAGGACAAAGAGGTGGTTGTGAACATGAAGGAGCGGAGGGCTTTTGCAGGAATAAAGAAGGTTGGAGTCGAGGGATAAGAAATCTGCAGAGTAAGAGATTTAAGGAGGTAAAAGTGCATCTGAAACAGAGAAGACAGATCCACATGCATTCAGGTGAGAAGGAGATTCCTCAAAGGCCAATCTCAGCTCATTAGTCCTGTTATGGACTCCTTCGGGCAGGCCCGGGTGGGCTGCTGCCAAAACCCCCAAACACACTTCCTTTCGTCTCTCCCTAGAGTCCTTCACAACCTAACCCTCATCTCTACTCCCCTCTTCACCACGCACCCCCTACAGCGACAAGCCTGTGAGCACAATCATGGAACACACTGCTGGCTGATGGAATAATTATTGCATCCAAGAAGGCTACAGGAGAAGGCTCTCCCCAGGGAGCTGCCTGTGTGAGATAGCATGCGGGACAGATCGTGTGACTGGGGAAAAATGAGATGCAGTAGATGGATGTGAGACAGAGAAAAAGGAAGGAGACACCACGCCAGAGTCCACGTGGCTGCGTGTGGCGGCGTGTGTGTGAGGACGTAGAATGCTTTCAAGACAAACCCACCCCCTTCTCATCTCTGACCCTCACTTCCTCTCTCACCTCATCCTGTCTTCTCATCCAGTGAAGACATGAATCAAGTGTCACGAGAAAGCCTTAGACACCAAACAAGAAAGAGGCTCTAAATTGATTTGAAGCTGTCTGGACCACCTGAACCTTGAAGTTTAATTCACGGCGCACAACAACGTTTGTGCACAGGTGTGCGCAGATGAGACAGAGACGTTTGTTTTAGTTCACATCCACATATTCACAGGAAAATTAATAGCATGCTTCTTTCCCTCCCTGCCCCTCCCTTTCTTCCCACCATGCCTCACCAAACTACGATCAGAAAAAAAAGGCGTTGAGAAGTGGCTCAAATTTCCTTTTGCCCACAACAGCTTGTCCACCTGTTCACTCTCAATCTCCATGCAAATGAAGCCGTTTCCCCAACACAATCTGCTCAAAGCAGACTCTGCAAATGGAACGCTAACATCACTGAAGTTTGTGCAAAATGTCTGCAGACTGCACGTGCTCACTGAAGCGTGTTTGTTTTAGCACGCCCCAGTGAGACCATGCTGCCTGCAACGATGTACTTACAGCTCTTTCCAATCCATCATCTAGTTTATGCTCATAGTCAACAAACAGATGAACGATACAGTTCGACTTTCATTTCTGAGATGTCAGTGTTCTCCATTATTTGCACATTTGATACGCCGGCACAGTCGCCAAGAACAGAGCGAGGGGGTGGAGGGTGGGGGGGTTGCTCAGCAGTCAGGGCACAGGGGTCCGTTTTGCTCTGATCGTAATCATTGAGGTTCCACTTGATTTCACAGAGGTTTGTAAGAAGCTGGGGGGGCAGAGGGTGGATGTGAGGGAGGAGGCGTGGGCGCCATAGTAACTAAATGGAACAATCTCCAGGTGGGGTGGACAGGATGGGTGTCCTGCAGGAAAAAAGATGCTGCTCAGTTGGAGAAGTGCAGGTAATCCAGAGAGTATTTTTTTATAATGAAGCAAAGAAGAGAAGATCAGGATTAGAAGAGGTACCCTTTCCAAAAATCATCTCCAAGTCCTTCAGAGTGTCCTCACCAGGAAAAGTTCTGCATCAGTTCATAAATAGCTCAGTTTTCCACTTCCTCAATTCATCCAAGTCCTCCTCCGTACCACAGGCTGCATGGATGTCTGTCATGTAGTTAATCCACTACGCTGTGTCTGCCATGAGTGGCTGTACATCCTGATGGTTTTTCCCTGACTCTCTGATGCTCACAGGCAGAAGGAAGAGGCTTGACTCAGTGATCCTGGCTGGGCTGGAAAATTTCCTCCGGTTTCTGAAAATAAGAAAAACTCCAACTCCCGTTCCGCCTCTTGGTCCTTCTCCTGCTGTCGGAGAAATTCTGGCAGCTGTCCTGCCGTGTCTTTCTTTCCTTCCTTTCCTCTCTCTCCCTCACATAAACTCACCAGAACACACACACACATGTACAATCCCTCCTCCTTCCTCTCGCTCTCTCTTTTTCTCCCCACAGCCCAGCCCCTTTTCCCTTCGACTGCCAGACACGGTGTCAGCGCTCGATTGCTGGCTGCTTGCGGCGCAATTTGTCAGTACAGCCCTACGCGTGTGCACGCACACACACACACACACACACACACACACACACACCTCAAAACACGTCACATGAATACTTAATGCACACAGGAGCCTTCTCTTCTTTTAGGGTCCCTCACTTCAAACAGATTTGGTTAGTATGCCTACAGTGCATGTGCAAGCCTGAGTGCATGTTTGCTCCTTTATTTCAGTGTTTATTATTATTATTATTATTATTATTATTGAAGGCTGTAATTAGAATTCGAATTAGAATGTTATTAATCAAAAGTACAGTCCCGGAGATAAGGGAGGATACACTTAGGAAAGATGGATGGCTTGAATGAGTGATGATTGCACTCAATTGGTGCATTCGGAGAGTAGAAAAAGAAGAAGGTGAGGAGGAAAAAGGGAAAAGAGAAAGCAGACAATGAATAGATGACACTTTAGAAAGGCAGATTTATACTGGCCAATGAGAGAGAGAGAGAGAGAGAGAGAGAGAGAGAGAGAGAGAGAGAGAGAGAGAGAGAGAGCAGACAGTCAATGGTCAAGGGTAAAAAGGGGAATGAGAGCGTGTGAGTGGGTGAGCGCCGGGGTGAGAGTATTCCCTGTATTCCCTGGGCTGCCAATTTATCAGTAAGCCCTCTCAGCCTCCTGACTAGCCGGTGTTGTTTGAAAGGCTGCCGCGTTGGCTGCAGAGTGCCTGCTGCAACACATCGGCAAACAGAGTGGGTGTGAGACTTGCCAGATGAAAGTACATTCAGCACAAAGCGCTCCGACTCTCTCCCTCTGACACAGATGCCCCTGATGTGAACTCCACTGGAACTTGGAAATTCAAAAATAACAGGAAAAATAAAAACCAGCAAAGAATTCGAAGGGTGCTGTTCTGTAACGAAGCGGTTTGATGCATCACGTAACCTTTACTGTTTCACCGCAGCATGCTTACCTATGCGGCTCTGCAGCATGTTTTAAATTAACTCGTCTGAGCTGGGCTTCTTTAAAGGTGCAGTTCCACAGTTTCCTTTTGACTGGCAGAAGGAGACATTGGTCACTTTGACAGAGCAACCTCAATAGTCTCACCCCATTGTTGGTACCCTTGGTGTGCTTTCACGTGTTATTTATCAAAATGGGACAAAAGGAAAAAAACAGCCACATTTGGAACCGTCCTGATAGCCTTTCAGCTCCATCACCGTCTCCTTACAACACACTCCTGGGGCAGATAATGACTGCAATAATTATAAATGAGCCAAAGCAAGACAAATGTAAAATTAAGCACCTGGTGTCTTTGTTTAAGAAAGGCCAGCAAGATTCCATCCTCACCTAAAGAAGGAGCGACAGCGAGGGAGAAGAGGAGGTCAGTGAGTGCAGAATAAAACGAGTAGAGGGGAGGTGTTTGCCCGCTCCTTTCAAAGCTTCATGGTGGCTTATTGTCAATGATCACTGCAGGTTTTTTATTCAAGCTTCGTCAAATTGGCTGGAGGAATTCCTCCGCTCGAGAGTAATTTGCTGGCACGCCCATCAGCTTGTCTGGTGCCAATTTATCTCTGTTTTCCGGGCCAGCTATAGAGCTTTTAAGGTGGTTTCTGCAGCTAATTACCACGCTGGATGCATTTACTGTTCTTGGCATTTTCCTTCTGTGATTTTCTTTTTTACTCTTTCCACGGACAAGATAAGGCGGCTTGAGCCATTCGAGCAGGGATCAGATCACTGGGCATGATATCACACTGCCCCACTAACCCCCCCCCCCCCCCCCCCCCCCTACAATCTCCACAGTCCCCCACTGATGCTGATTAGCAGCCCAGCATAGCTGCTCCTGAAAGGAGAAATCCCAGTGGTAATGAGTTAGGGGGATCAAATGAAAATTTACCACAGGTTTTCTTTTGTTAGGATGTTAGTGCATCAAGTAGCGGCTCGCCAAACCCAAAACGCTACATCAGCAAATGTTCATGATTGGCTGCGCTGGAAGCGTGTTGGTTCATCAGGTGAGGTACTACGATTTTTGAGTAGAAAGTTAATCGTTAAAAAACCTCCCTAGAGCGAAAATCAGTGCATGCTGTCTTGTTGATGGGCTGCCCTTGACACGATCAAACCGC